GTGCAAATGTTAGTTCCCTTCATTCCACACCCTGATAACAGCAGGGTGGAGATGAGGATACAGATCAAAAAAAGAGGATACAGATCAAAATAAAGAGCACATGGGAAGTGGAGATTTTAGTCCTGGGGTGGGCTGGACTCAAGTGACATACCCAGCCAGTGGTAAGACAAACAGTGGGGGCAGAGCATTGGCCATTTTTTTCTGGACATATTCCTTGTATGATTTTTGATATTTGAATTGGAAATGATCTGTTTGTTCATAATGAGAGAATCCTGAAGGAATGTATAAGATTTTGGAAACTATCATTCTGACTCATAACCCTAAGTGGTGGGATATGCAGGCTATATTGAACCCCCTTTTAATATGGATGAAAAGATGAAAATGTGGATGAAAAGAGAAAGGTATTAGAAGAAGGCAAAAGGATAGGCAGGAGTTGTAGGGTCTGAAATGGCTCCTCTTTTTGACCTGGATCCACATGCCATTTGTGGAGAGGAAGAGTCAATTTGAAGATGTAAACGTTAGGATGCTGGGAAATTTTGATAATGAGTAAAAGGGACTGGAAGAAAGTATGGAAACATCTCTCACAGATCATCTAATTTCAGTAAAGCTGGGGAATAAAACAACAGATTTTTGATAGACAGCAAAGGCACACATTCAGTAAAAACTATCAATAAGATCTCACCAATAAAGTTACATTACAAATTGTTGGGCAACAGGAAAAAAAGCTTTTGTGGCCAGTCCTACAACCCATGGAGCGGATATTTGGAGATAATAAACAGATCCAAGAGTAGGTTTGAAATACCTGACTGAAACATTCTTTCTTTGGACACCATATTTTTCATACAGTCTTTGCACAGAATTTCACAGGACAGCATACAGAAGGAAATGTTCTGTTTTATTTTCAACAGTTCATTTCTCAAATGTAAAAAGTCCATCCCAAAATAACATTTAAAAGTTTACACTTTCACATTTATTCCTGCAGAAGAGAATTGAAAGGAAATAAAAATAAACAATAATTTAGAATAAACTTACAAGGTCAAAAGCATTTAAAAGTTCTAATGGTGGTGGCTTAAGAGGAATCTTTCCAATTGTGAACTCCTTTGCTTCAAACTGTT